ACGTACTTTTGTCAGATGACAACTAGCTGTCAAAAGTGCGCATGTCACTCTATCTTCTAAACTGTTGGATCTAAGTCAAATTTTTTTGTGGAAGTATTTGTATCACCCAATTGTAAAGCACTTCTGGGTGTCATGTCTAGTAATTTTATTATAATTAATCTGTAGCACAGATAAACGTTGCTCCTGTAAAATTTTGATTTTGTGACATACGTACTTATGTCAGATGACAGGTGAAGTCTTAAATAAATTGAAAATTTTGAAAGTTAAGAATTTATCATTTTATAAGGTGAAAGTATTTCATTATTTGGCTTCTTGGTTTTATTAGCAAACAGAATCTCTAATTTGGCAATTTTCTCCCGCGTGGAAGGGTTTGCATTATGACTGCAGTTTGAACTGTACGTATTGAACTAGTTGCGATTTACTATTTGAAGCTGCAAACTAACTTTACTCATTCTGCATCCCAGAACTCTAAATTGTTCTGTAATTTCATTTATATAGTGACAGTAGTCACACTGGTTTTACATTTACAATGTTGGCTGCAGTGCACTATATAAGATGGAACTGTAGTTGCAGGTACAGTCTTAGAGAAGATATTTTAGTCTCACGAATCAATATCACTTTTGAGTCGAGAACTGTGCTTAAACATAATTACATAATATAAAAATATCACACTTGGGGGTCTAATTTGTTATGCGATTCATCAAAGCAGTTATTTTCGGAGTTTGGCAGCAGTTCAACTGTTGTTGTTTTCAAAGTGGAGACAGAAAATGTGGTTTACAGATTCTGACTATTGATACGTGATATTTAAAATATAAATCGACTTCATGGGTAAACGTTGGCCTACGCTCAGAGTGTATTTTTAATTTTTACCGACAATATTCCCTCGTCGCCTACTAATATATGTTTTGTCGATTCCCGGCTCGATAGAGTTTTACGTCTCCTAGCCTGGGCGCGCGCGGTTCCGTGGGACAACCGCTGGTCTTTCCGCATTTCCGTCCAGCTGTCTGTGTGTCTCTTGGCGGGGTTCAGCAGCAGGCGGGGTTGCTACCCGGTTAAGTCACTGAATTAGAAGCAAAGGTCAGTAACTGATGAGTTCGAACAGCCCGCGTAAAAAACTTATCCGTGTTTTGGACGCATTTTCGTCATTTTCCACCAGTCTGATAACGACCAGCATACTACGAATATACGACGAAGTATCGAGGTATTCCGTCGTATTCCAGTTCGTTTGCCGCCGTATCTGGGTCGTGCGGTGGTCGTGCTACTGGTCAAATTCACGACGAGAATGCGACGAGAAAACGGCGACCCATGCAGCGTCGGGCGCCGCCGTATACTCGTCGTATTCTGGTAGCGGAAGGGGAAAGAAAGAAAACGGTCGGCCGCCGGGAGGCGGGCTCGAACCGGCGATTAGTCAGTCGCCACGCCGAGACGGTATCCACCTGGCCAGGGAGGACGTCTGAGGGGAGCGCTGCCGGAACCGCATCCCATGCTGACCTGTGCTCTCTCGACACAAAGCCCACCCTCAGCGTTGTAGATTTACGCTGTGGGATACTGAGCACAATTTTTGAACTTGCGAGCACAAATCGACTGTTGTGTCGAGATGTTGCTCATATAAAGCTAAGTGGGCCGCAGTCTAAATCTACAACGCTACAACGCTGAAGTCCATGGATAGGTGTGGTAAAAGGCTTCACTTCAATAATAAAAACATACGTAATCAAAACAAACTTGAACTAAAACAAGAGAGAAACATGTAAAGAGGTAAAACGATTTAATTGATTGTTGATACATTTTTATATTCTTAGTGTTCTGTTCATAGAGAGAATCGTTGAAGATTTGAAACATGTTATGAGCCGGAGTTTTTATTCCACATTACCTTGGGAAATTTTCCGAACGGCATAGCAGGAGTAGACACCTTGGAAGGAAAGTGAAAGGATGTTTTGTAACCTATCAGCTATGATAGCTAGACTGTTTGTTTCTGGTTTTATTGTTTGTTCTCTACTAATAAACCACTAAACAATCACTTTTTTTTTAAATTCTAGATCCCTGCTACTTGTTTACAACAACGTTTTTTTTATTACTTTATTCTTCACCTCTCGGTTTGCAAATCGCATCGTCTGCTCAAAGCATAATAATAATAATGATAATAAAAAATGTATGAAGTAACTTTTGTCATTTTGATTTTTAAATGTTGGAAGTAAAATAGGTAACTTTATAGGTAAGACGTAAGACGTTACGTAAGACGTTTTTTACAAGTAATTACAGGTAATTAGAGGTAATTACAGGTAACTACGGGTAATTACAGGTAATTACAGGTAACTACAGGTAATTACAGGTAATTAATGCAACAAGTGGGGGCCCATGAACCAATTTTTGGGGGCCGCGGACCCCCTCCTTCTTCATGCGTCCCCTTATATATAGAAGTAAATAGTGTCTAATCATAATTACGTCGTACAGGTAATTACAGGTAATTACAGGTAATTGATGCAACAGGTGGGGGCCCATGAACCAATTTTTGGGGGCCACGGACCCCCTCCTTCTTCATGCGGCCCCTTATATAAAGACGTAAATAGTGTCTAATCATAATTAAGTCGTATAGGTAATTACAGGTAATTACAGGTAATTGATGCAACAGGTGGGGGCCCATGAACCACTTTTTTGGGGCAACGGACCCCTCCCTCCCCATGGGGCC